TACTGAACAATACTGTTCATATTGAGAATTTATAATTTGAATATTCTATAGTAAAGATTATCGATTATGTCGTAATAATACCATTGCTATGCGAAATATCAACCTTAACGACATTTGTTGAAAAATATACATATTGATAAATTTAATACGAAGTGTTAGCTCACATTGCCATAAGTGGGCTAAACAATTAAAGAGGTCATTCATCGTGAAACACAATTATATGTATATAATTACAGTTTAAAACACGACCATCATTTTAAAACTGAATGTACCGAATAGCTGTTTTGTCCTAATATGGAACTCTTCAACCCTGGTCATCCACAAATTTGAATCTGATAATCGAACATAGTACTTTCAGTTCGAACACTTAACGTTTAGACAACTGAGGAGGATGGACTACAAAGGTATACATGTCTAAATTCAATCAATTAAGGATATTGTTCAACTCTCATCCATTGCATGCGGTGTATAACTTTGTCACACTCGACATGGGTAAAAAACCACTGGCATGATTTTTTACAAGAGTTCTCGGAGTTACACTTTGAAGCTATTCTCTAATGTATACATGAATATTATTACTATGAGGAACCTTATTTTACAAAATTAAACAACTGTTTCATTTATTTTAAATGACATATACATGAATCCATGAAATTGAAAATAATATCCACCTACTAAATAATAATACTGTTCATTATTGAGAATTTAGTAATAATGATAGAATAAAGGTATTTAACTATAAGAAAAGCAAAGTATTTAACATGAATTTATCATAACAGACTGGTTGCATTCAAATTCTTTTTTTTTCTCGGTGACTATAACTATCAAGTAGATGATAAATTATGGGTGAAATGTTTTTTTTTTACATTTTTTTGTTTTAATTTATCATACTACTGAATATTGAACAACAGAAATATATGTACATGTATGTACCTTTGTGTTTTGCGCTTGCGGTAAATTATTTCCTTTGTAAAGTTATTCTAAATAGTAAAAGAAAACTAACAGAAATGATCTAATGAGATTCTACTGGTGGACAGTGGCGCAATTTCATGGATTGGTTGTAGTTAGACATTGACACCGTTGGATGCCAGCTCAGTTGTCTACAGGGTAAGCAAAAGAGCACGAGACCGGAGGTCAAGGGTTTGGACCCCATGAGTGGGATCGTGGATGAGCACTGCTGAGTTGTCTCATATTAGAACGAAACGATCGATCAATGCATCCAGGTTTCCCATGGATTAACATTAAATAAGAGCTGAAAATTCTTTAAATCAACTGGAAAATTCAACTAATCAGAGTGAAACAACTTTTTTTTGAAATCGAAGTTGCAGACAGTTGATTCAATTTGTAGAGTAACATTATTCTTTTTTTTTTTAAATCATCATCATTAAGACTAATTATTTAAATAGAGTGATTGTCATTATACAACTCTACATCAAATGTATCAATGATACTAGTAGATGAAGTGGTAATGTCAACCAATATTATCGTCATTGATTTAAATGTCAAAGTTAGGAATTCATTGAGTCTTATCTGCTGTCTAAACATTTATTAAATTTGAAAATTATAAAAACAATTAGAAGAAGTAGTTGATTTATACAACCCGATGTACTTGCGCAGTACATCTAGAACAATTGGATCATACATATATTTGTCAAGGGATATTATAAGAAAACTAATTATAGCCAATTAAACACAAAGCAATAAATTATAAAAAGCCAACCCGAAATGGACATTATTTAAATTTTTATAGTTTCTGTCTACTGTAACATATGTGAAGCTTGGTAAAATGCCTTTTTAACTCAAAGAATATGTGCTGCAGGCCAGTTTGATAAAGACACTAAATTACTGACTGAAGTACTGATATTGAATAGTTACTTTGTGATGTGGTCTACTTATATCCATATAAGTAGTATATGGTGTGGGTCAGGCATAGAATGTATTTTGGCAGAAAACCGATGACAAAAGAACTGAAATGAAACGCAATCGTTTGGAAAATGCATCAGCAATGGAATTAAAGAAGAAAGAGTGAACATGGAGACTATTGGTTGTTAATTTGCAAATTAACTGTCCATTGTATGGTTATTAGAATTTACTGAGATAGTTTGTAATGTTTGCTTAAATATATTCGATTGTCCCCAACCAGTGTTCTGTTCACTACAACTTGCCAAAAATTATAAATCAGTGTTAAAGTTAATTAACAATAAAAACTATTTTTAAATCTGTTACAAATAAAAAAGGTTTATATCTCTTTATCATTTTTAGAAGAGTTGACTTGCTTACCTTTTGAGACAGTGGCTAAAAGCATATTACATAGCTAAATTGATTGCGACTGAAAAAACAAAGCCCATTATACCATATAGGCCTATATGTTGTACAAACGATTATGTCATATCCAAATGCAATAAACCAATCTACATGCTTGTGTCTAAACATAAACATAAAAAGGAGTAAATGAGCAATGTAATCAAGGGTTATAGGATATGTCCTCTGATGTCTTTGAAGTTACTTAGCGCCGGATACTCTAATTAATGTGAGAAGCATAAGAAACTGTTTTCGTCGATGACAAGGCATGCTAGAATTGACATGAATACAGCTTTCTAAATGTTATATTGCAATTGTCAGGGACGAATTCTTAAATACAAGACATTAGGTCTGTGATCACCTGATCAGTAAACAGCCAAACACCAGTCTTCTGAGGCTTGTTGAGGCCGTTGCTATCAGGCGTTAAAAAACTGATTTGTGTGTTCAAAAGGAGATGATTATTAATCTTTCCTTAAGTTGGTGACAAATATTCCTAGGTTGCATCTTAAACTTCTTTTTTTTAGACTCTTCCTTGCATTTATTACACCATTGAGTTTTATTACAATTATCTTTCAAATTAGTAATTTTATTTTATCAACTGAGCTCTACTCATTTTAATCCTATCAATGTTTACTCATTATGTAATCACTTGTTTCCAGCCGTTTGAACTGTTGTCACAATCAATGTTGTAGAATTCTCTTTTACATAAGATATATGTTTACAATATTCAGTCTACTAAATTCATTTCTACCCTCGAAATACTATACTAGTATGTCTTCAACATAACTTCCTACCAAATTCCTTTATGTGAGTACTTTAAGCTCATTTTAGAAATACGGTTTTTAAATCTCACAAGTTGTTAGCAGCTGACGAAAATCGACGAAATAAAATGAATTCATGCAATTCCAATAGAATCTTTGTTATGACTCTTTTCAAAATGATATAAAGAATTATGTGTATGAAATTTATTTTTAATAAATCAGTCAATTTCAGTTCTATCATTAATGGTGACTGGATAAGGCCAGATGGAAATCTCAGGAAATGAAAGCGACAAACATCTCTAGTTGCAAATGACGTATATTAATGTTCATGAACATTAGTATCTGTATTCATTTATTCATTTATTACGGTAAATGTTAGCCAGTTTGTGAGTACGTAATATGTATTATAGCTTTTATCTCAGTCTTAGGAATGACATATTTAGAAACTTTAATGAGGTGTATTTTATTGTAAAAGAAATATAAATGATTACGTCATTGTAACAGAATACGACACTTAAGAATTCATTTTCTAAAGTAAACAGATTACAGTACATGAGGTAAGTAAATACTGTAAGGAAACATTAAATAGTAAATAATTTATAATTTATAGACAGTTATATGTATGTATATACATACAAATGCTTTCATTTTCAGTATGGTATAACAGAGATTGTTAAATTTCATTGAAATCGCGAATTAATCTAAGATCAATATTTAAAACCTGAAATTAATAAAATGCCGTTTTGTCCTGGTATGGAACTCCTCACGAGTGAGTATCCACGATCCGATGGGCAAGACTCAAACTTAGAACTTTTGGTTTCATAAGCTTAACCTCTAAAAAAATTAACTACCTATCACCGGAACATGTTTCGAATGCTAAATAGAGCAAGAAAGTGATTTTAAGAAACAAATTATTATATTCTATTTGTAACTGACATAAAGAGAGAATAATTTATAGCTTAAAAAACTCATCTACCTGATGAGTAACAGACTATTAATTTTTAAACTAAAAAATGAAGAAATACTAAATCGTCAAAGATGGATAAGGATAAGTAGTTAACGTACGGAACAATGGAATAAGTGAGACACGGTTAAAGTAAACGGGAATTTGCCAGTTTATTTTAAATTACAGATGAACTTTATTGGTGGTTCCTAATAGTTATTTAAACTCAAAATTTAGCGTTCTATAAAAATTCTAATTCATTATCGATCAGTAGCAAAGCTGTATGAACGTTATGGGTCAATATCAAGAAATAATGAAAAAAAGAAATAGAATGATAGTATTTGTGCTACGCTTACAATACAAGGAGTAAGGTATGTGTCACAGATAAAAATGAGTGTGTTATATCTAGAGCTTTGATTCTTTCTATGCCGCGTACTACTGGACTACTTGAACGAACAAACTCTCAAGAGAGAAGACTGAAGACTAGTAAGTAGGAAATTTTTTCCTCCAAGCAGTGTCAAATATCTCATATATTTATAGTTTTTGGCCTAAAAAAAATCATCATTTCGAACAACCAATAGGCACATAGGGGTTCCCTCTCATTCACCCAATAGGAAAGCTACACGTCGACATTCTAGAATGTTCCTCTAGCGGTGATTGGATGGAATGTCTTCGGCTCTTTCTGGGCTTCTTGAGGCTTCATTGAGTTTGCGAACTAGCCAGTTTCATACTATCATGAACTGAATGATATTTATAATATAAACTATTCACTGTTAATTCACCGGTTAAAAAAGTAACTCAAACTTTTTGAAGTCTTACAGTCTTAAGTTTGATTCTTATTGGATTCATTCTATGAAATAAAATCCAATACCTTTTAATTCATAATGTAGAATATCATTAAATCAAATTATTTTAATAGACAATCATATGATTACCATAATTGAATTCATAGACAATATACCTAAAATGATAAAGATTCTTCATATACTACTTACTTTGAAGTGTTGAATTACATGAAATTATTTTTGGCAATTTACTGGTACCAATTTTTTGACAAGAATACTTTTTTAATAAACAATCATTTAGATAAATTGTACCATCGGAATCACAAATAGGATTTAATTCATTTGGACATATTTTTAATGAGCATTTATATGAATTGAATTCTATTGTAGGTGAATGAATTAATTGGGTTAATTGAGGTGAATCATGTTGTAGATTTTCATCCATTTTAATATGATGAGTATTTTGATGAATTTGTGTTAAACTAGGAGAATTTCTATTGGGTTGAACTTGTGGTATGATCTGATTTGTTGAAGTTTGATCATTGGTGACATGAACAGAAGTAGTGGGTATAGAAGATAAAGACATTTCTAATGAATAATAAATGAAGAAGTAAAAGAATCAACAGCACGAATTAGTTAGAATATTTAATATTGTATCAATTATATAGTTTGATTAATTCAACGATGGATAAATCGTACAACGTTATACATCTACACTTCTATGTGTATATCGAAGATCGTGAAGTATGTGTGTTTTTGTGTATGTGTCCAATACATGAATACCGCATGTATATATAAGTCTTCTTTCTGATATCACCATATGCACTTATTACAAAGTATGTATTTCCTTCTTTCGTACTACTAAATTACTGATGTCATTCTTATTTAAAAAGCACACATAGGTTTTCAATGGTGGTATAATATCAATTAGTTAATGATCTCAATCAGAAAATACTAGTAGTTGTAACGGAAAGAATACACTGAAAATCCCTCTAGTGCATTTTATTGTACAGCATTATCATTTATTTGTTTCTTCTCCTTGTCTTGTATTGTAACCTTTATTGGGATCTCTTGTTAACCACACTTTATGTCCTTCAGTCTTCCTTGTTGAGGCTTTTAATATTTGATCCTAGTTAATGATGTATCTATTATTACTTAATTTACTGTCGCATGTTGCCGGGCTATTGACAATAAGTTCGTGCTTTGCTAAACTCAAGGTCATAGCTTGGTTCGAACAAATAATGCTTTATCTTCCATGAAACTAGCAGTTCATTCATAGAATCCAAGTATTTGAGACGAATCTGAGAACTGTAATTCAGAATGCTATTTGATATGAATGAAATATTACTGAATTATGAGGCTTAATAAATCGCTTTTGTAAAGAATAAACACTTCTTATTCATTTTGTTTTCTTCTGTTCGACTTTACTGATGCTTTACTACGGTTTTTTTTAGAAAATACATTTGAGTCATATCATCATCTATTATTTAAATTGTATATCTTCGTAATTTACCAAACTGATATTGTCTTATGCCTATTGGGTTATGACGTTCGTTGAAGTTTATTGATTTCACGAACCAATTTAAGTCAGGCAATCACTGAGAGCTTAGAAGCATTGGACAGCTAGTTCGTTCTAGTGATTGGCTTCTTACCAATACTCATCTACAAATCCACGCCCAGGAATCGAACCTAGGACATTCGGTTTCGTAGGTGAACGCCCAAGCTCTGGAACAATTAGCCATTATTCAATAGTGTATATGTCTTACTTCAATCAATTCAGGATACTGCGTCACCACCTACGATTGTCGTCGGTGAGTACCTTTCTCACACTCAACACTGTTAAATTCTACTCGTTATGACTTCTTACTAGAACCATTAAAATTTCCTCTAGAATCTAATCACTAAAAAGTACATGATAATTATCAGTATTGTATTATTATTTTAGTTAGATTTTTATAATGGTTTCGCAGCAAGTAGAACCGTTTACTTCTTTAAGAAGAAATAAACTTTATTTCAAGTGATTACTCTACAGTGTTGAGAAATATTTAATTTTCTTTTTGATCGTTAATTTATATTTCCGAGATAATCTGAAAATTACTCATTTGCATTACTGAAGTGTCATAAATTCATGGAGATATTTATCTGAATAAAGATAATCACATTCAGCTCTAATGAAATGACCAAGTATAGTGTCCTTTAATGAAATAACGGAGTTCATTAAGATCTTCATCATTTATCGTATGAACTTGTGTATATTTAGATTGGTCAAATAAGACAGTGGCATGTCTGTATCCTCAATTTTTGATTATGTCCCAATGAACACATAACTCAAAGATGCATGCTATGTATGATTATCATTACATAGACAATGGTTTATTTTTATGATTTATGCCGTATAACATGTGTATAGCTTGAATTAAAGGCTAAGGTGTTCAACAACTTATAAGTATTCTATAATCTAAACAGTTTAACTTCCAGCAAATGCTGAAAAGAGTGAAAGTAAATGTTGTGTCAAGGTCATGAAGGATTTGAAACAAAATATTTTGTTGCTAACTGTTTCATACATTACTCTCAAAAACAACTAATATCCTCATAATTATTCCATTACATACAATAAAAAATTAGTCATCCATTATTACTTTGTTTATACTTGATAGATTGGTTGGGTGTAATTCATTATTTATTCCTAATATCAGTAAAATGTATACACTTAATTAATCAGGAAATTAAATTTACAGGAACTAAAAGCTTTTAAATCAAAAGATCATTAATATGGTGAAGCATTCTCAATAACTTCAGCATGTATAATCAAGCCAAGAGTGGGAGTAACTACACATCAGTTTATGAGTAGTAACAGTTTTAACTTAAGAATTTAAAAAAGAAGTAAACTAGGACGATGTGCGAAGTATGTTTCAGCGTGAAATGTTCCGTATGTTATAGGATTTTCTCAAAAATCCAATTTCGTCTCAAGTTTTATTAAAGCAATATACTAGTTGATGGTGGAATTCAGGATGCGTATTACTAGGCACAAAAAGTACTGGGGAAAAGTATTAGGTCTGAATCCGATTGTAAGCATCGACACTGTGATACGGATCGCTTACCACCAATTTCTACTAAAATCATTGAAATTTCATCATCTCACAGTCAAATAAGGTTTTTTACATCCTTCATCTTCATTTGCTTGTCTTTATCATCAAAAGTCATTGACCAAAGAGCATCTCGTAGCTATTCATAATGTAACACTGATTGTTCAGTAAGTAGCAACTTTTTTAGGGCTCAGTACATTTGATCAAGTTGTGTCAGTTAAAAAATACAATGTTAACATAACAGTCAGTAGGGAGATATCACATACATTGTGCTTTGTTGCTAGGGTCAATCAGGAGGATCTACATGCGAATTATTAATAAATTTAAATAAATTTAACTAGTTCATTCCTAAAGGATGTAAATAGTGGAGTGGCTAACTTAGCAGTCAGTTTCAATATTCGACATTTGCTAACATGAGATCAAATAACACTGGAAGTGACAGTTCTCCCAAGACTGAGGAATCGCCTTACAAACGAATAACGACTAAGGTGTTCCACGTTCACCAACATCAATCAAATATAACATGTTACTTTAATAATGTTAGTTCTTATACCATGATACTGAATCCAGTTGTGCAGTTATTGTGTAATATGACCAAGCAATGCTTTCCTATGTAACCCACTAATATTATATAGGTACCTCTTTACAAAAGTTATGAGAAACATAATAAACCTTATATTTACTTGTTGTTGTTTGCTTTTATCTTCCATTGTTATTTTGGAATGCAATTGATCAGTCTCTTGTTGGCATATGTTAATCCTATGCGGATCGCCTCGATATTGGCTGAAGTCACAAGCATTATAAGCGAAAATGGATATTGGTTAGCAGTGGAATCCAGGACGTGCATTTCGTTCTATTCGGGACTCGTCAGCTGGATTTACCTGCATCTCAGAGTTGATGTTAACTCTGGGACTCGAACCCAGCACCGTTTGCCTCAAACGCCATCACGTTATCTACCTGTCTACTGAGTCCTGATAGCCACCTGCTTGTGTAATGGGGTGAAGTTTAAATTCACTTAGTGTTGTTTGCTTGTATCTTCTCACTGTTGTTTAAAACTGAGGTTGATCAGTCTTTTACCTGAATATATGCATCCTGTGCAGACTGCCTCGATATTTTCCTGAGACACAAGCTTTATAAGCAAAAATTCAAGTCCGGGATTGAACAACTCTGAGATGCAAATGTGATGTGGTCTACCTATATCCACATAAGTAGTATATGGTGATGGTCAGACATAGGATGTATTTTGGTAGAAGATCGATAATGAAAGAACAGGAATGAAGCGTGATCGGTACGAAAATGCATGAACAATGGAAATCAGAGAAGACGGACTGATATTTACTGAAGGAAAAGTCAAAATTGAGACAATCGATTGTTATTTTGCAAATTAACTGTTCATTGTATGGTTATTAGAATTTAGTGAGATAGTCTGTAATTTGTGCTTAGATACATTTGACTGTCCCCACTCATGTTCCTATTCACTACACAGGTACATCCAGCTGACGAGTCCCAAATAGGATGAAAAGCACGTCCTAGATTCCATTGTTAGCCAATATCCAATTTTGCTTAACAACGAACCTTTATAAAATATACCCCTATTAGTGTTTTTTTTTAAAAATTATATACTCTGCCAAAGTTTTCCAACTACGTAGAACTTCAAAATTTTTGGACACACTTCAATAATGGAATAGAATTCTACAAATTACTTTTCAATATTTATTGACATATGAATAATTGAGTATCCATATTTCATAGAATATCAATAATCTTTTGATTATAACCAAGTACTTAGGTGTTATAAGTAAACAACATTTCAATGAATTCTATTTCTATTACCTATTAATGATGTGAGCATTAAGAGGTTTTATTGTAGCCTATAAACAAATTGAATATACACTGGTATTCAGAAAACTAATGATTATTTCACACAGTTAAAAAAATATGTATGACAGTGTCCAATATTCGTATTAATTTACCACCATTACAAAAAGAAACAAAGTCAATATGACTACAATGAATTAGTTGAATACAAAGTAAGTTGAGTAAACAATGATTTAATGAATGAAGATAGAATATTCATGAATTTCAAAAAAAAATCTCAGGAATGATACAATGGGTCACTTAAGGAACGAATATCAGTAGATGAGTAGAAAAAACAAAGGGAAAAACACTGATCTTCGTCACTATGCTGTATATCACATTTTGTGTCTCCACTCTTTGCTATCAATTTTCTGTTGGACTTTCAATATTCATCTTAGATTGATGAGTCGAAATGTGATAAAACTGTTTCTCATCGTAATAATTACAGCTGATTATAGTACAGAGAATTTGGTTATTCTTATATTTTATGGAGTTGAGATCATGAGTCGATTGAAGCTAGACCACTATGGAAAACCTGGAAGCACACAACGGCCGTTTTGTCCTATTATGAGACTCCTCAGCAGTGCGCATCCACTATCCCGCACTCGCCAGATTCGAACTCAGGACCTACCAGTCTCGCGCGAGAGCGCTTAACCACTAGACTACTGAGCCGGCTGGCATCCAACGGTGTTAATGTCTAACTTCAACCGATCCACGAAATTGAGCAACTATTTACCAATATCTTCAGTGAGTTGATATCTCCCAACAGACATGATTGAACTCCACTGTTTACTGCTTCTCACTAGAACTCCAGGAAATACCTCATGGAGCCAGTCACTAGTGAGCACATGATCATTATCATTCTTATTATCATCATCATTATTATTCTTATATTGCCCAAAATTGTAATATGTAATAATATTTAAGTAACTTAAACAGACTTAGACATAACACTCATGGAGTAGATACGTTACGTGAAGAAATTTCTTTTCAATTAGTTTTTCATCATGGCTCTACACTAATATATATATATATATGATTTACAATAATTAAATAACACTCATGTAATAGTTTTTCATGGACCTTACAAGTGTAAACTATAGTTTGAGTTTACCAGAGGTTTTTTGGGCATTGATCTAATTTATAGGTCGCATTCATTATAGTTAGTCTCGGTTGGGGTGTCGGTAAAAATCACATGATAGTTATTTTGTCTTATTATAGGACTCATCAGCCATACGTACCCAAGACTCCATTAAGAATAAATATCAAGACTTTCACGGTGAACCTTTCAATAGTTAAACCACAGTATCAACGTTTGATGATAAAGTTCCCCTTTAGACGTGACAACCATCATGTTTTGCTGGTGACCAGCACTTAACTTTTGACAGGTCCGACGTTATATTGAATATTAGAAGAATAGTATCAGACAGTCAACTGCCTATCTAATGTTTTGTATCCTCACTATAGACTTCATGAACTAAAATAGTGCTTTGTTTGTTGTAAGTCAGTTTGTTAATTAAGAAGAGAAATATCAAGTATGAAAAGAAATAAATGTTATCTTTAACCTTTTCCCACTTACTTTCAATTAATTGACTACAATCATTTTGAGATAATATTCTACTGAAAACATTTAAATTCATTGGTTTCAATTCAGTTTGTTTTAAACAAGACTGATGTAACATAACACATTCATTTAAATAAAATAAACCATTCACTGTACATATTGTACCACTATTCATATTACACATATGATTTTTTGCCATATCCATTAATGTTGGACATACACAAACACCAATTAGTTGATCAGAATCTTTTGATAACCATTCTTCACAGATTGCACCAAAACGACATTCACGTTTAGAACAACCATCTGAAAATTGAATACATAAGAAAAAAAATCAAGGAATTTTTTATGAATTCTCTGTTATAATTATCAATTTTATCATAAGTGATCATAAGTGGATCGTGTATACGCACTGCTGAGGAATCCCATGATAGGACGAAACGGCCGTCTAGTGCTTCCAGGTTTTCGATGGTGGTCTAGCTTCAATTGACTCATGATTTCAACTATGAAAATACTTAATTCTCCAAAAAATCCCCTCTGATCTAAAATCATATGCTCACTAGTGACTGACTTCAAGAGATATATTTTTGAGTTCTAATGGGAAGCAGTCACCAGTGGAGTTCTACCAAGTCTGTTGTAGAGAAATCAACTAACTGAAGACAATTGGTGAACGGTCGCTCAAAATCGTGGATTGGTTGAAGTTAGACATTAACAACGTTGGATGCCAGCCGGCTCAGTGGTCTATCGGTTAAGGGCTCTGGCTCTGGCTCTGGCAAATCCTGAGTTCGAATCTCGCGAGTACGGGATCATGGATGCGCCCTGTTGAGGAGTCTCATAATAAAACGAAACAGCCGTCGAGCAGTGCTTCCAGGTTTTCGATGGTTGTCTAGTTTCAATTGAATCATGATTTCAACTAAGAAAATACTAAAATCTCCACAAAATCCCCTCTGATACTAATTTAATCAACAATATAAGTAGCACTATAAATCTTAATAAAAATTTCTCGACTAGTATTAAAAAAAATTGTAAGCGATGTTTTGAATGAAAGTTTAGTTACTAACTAAACTATGTACTATATTATTCTCAAATTATTCACATGGTTTTTTGGCTTTCAGTCAAGCTGGGTATTTTTTTTGTTTTTTGTGATTTAATTAGTTTAGTGAAAATGGATGTAAATAAATAAGTTTTAATCAAGTATGTGTATTTGCCTGTATGTAATTAACGTTTGTTTTGTATCTATAGAGATAAAAATATTTTAAAAAGAAAAATAATTAAAGATATAAGGGTAATTTATGATTTATTTTTATGCTGCTATGTATTTAATGGCGTATTATTTCTCAGATTTCAATCAATATAGTGAAGTTATTTATTGATTTTTTCTAAATACAATCAATCAACCAATCAATCAATCTATAGTCGATTGTATTTTTTGAATCAAAAATTGGTAAAATGCGAATCTCCTGAACCTTTAGAGGAGTTGATGATGAACAATCTCAAACAAAGAGGTTCTATCACTTCATTGAGTGTTCACTAAGTAATGATCTGTGCTATGTTTGTTTGAGCCTATCCGTTGGGTAATTTCTATCGATCGATTTTGAATATTGCCACTAGTCTAAGTAACTTTTAATCTTGTGAATTATAGCGATATGTTGGATCGATATAATTTGAAGATAGTTTACATCATGTACATACTTTAGCTGGGCAACGTTTGAGAGTTACACAGACCAAAACATTTGTTTTGTATTAAAATGAAGAGATAAGTCACCAAATATCGACTTATTGGTTTAAAACCAACCCTCTCTTTATCGAGTTATATGATTTTATGATTGATATCTGACAGAGTCACTAGTGTATGCAGTAGCAGAGTTCTATTCTAGTTTTGAAAAATGATTATCCAATGTTCCTTAAAGATTCGTTTGTCTATCCGTAAACAAAACAATTATTCGTCCTTCATAAAAATCGTGATTTATTTTAATGGTATATATGTATTGTTTCTTGATCCGTATAGTACTAAATTATTAGCATACATAGATTTTCCACTCATTGAATAAACCTTGATAAATAGTTATAAGCAAAGATGGATAGTGGCTAGCAGTGGAATCCAGGACGTGCCTTTCGTCTTATTATGGACTCGTCAGCTGGATGTATCTGCATCTCAGAGTTGATGTTTACTCTGGTACTTGAACCCAGTACCTTTCGCTTCAAACGCCATCGCGAATTAAAGCAATATCGAGTCAATACGCACGGTACGCACATATGGCAATAAGAAACTGACCAGTTGCATTCCTAAGCATCAATGGGAAGATTCAAACAGACAATACTTGATAAAGATTGTTCATAATCTTCAACAGTTCACAAGATTTATAAATGTTCTCAGAAATCTAATATATACCATATAAATAATTCATATCAACCATTTCTCTCTTTATTCTTGCAACGAGCTGTACAAGTTCACGTTTACAAATGTATTAATAATCATTATTAAGAGGACTTACGTACCAGACTGAAAGCATTTTATTACATTTTACCCTACATTTTATTCATAAAAGGGTTCCAACATGGTCGTTAATCTTATCACTCCATAATCCTGAACAGTATTTTATACTCATCGATAAGCTGTATACATGTTACTTGGGGTAAATTTAAACAATATAATTTAGCCAAGATGAACATAATTGATCGACAACTTCATTACAACTTTAAGGTCTTTATTCTGTTGAAACTTGATTACCAGCAATTAACATTTGAATCTATTGATGATTGATGGACGGTGGATTGGTTGTTTCATTTACTGATTTTTGTTTACTTTTCACAAATTTATACAACCTAGATCTTATGTGATAATATTCACAACAAGAAAATTTGTCTAATGCTACCCTTTAACCATATTTTAAGTATTTAAAAATTCTCATCGTATTAAATTACAAAAAAAATAAATGAAGAATAGTCTTTTCAACCAGATCTCACCAGATTCTGAAGTTGTGGGTTCAAATTAATGTTCCAAACAAGTCTTTTAATATTATAAATTAATAATAATTTGAACATACTTCATCTTACCATTTCTTACTGAATCCTCAGCATTTCGTACATTACATAGTCCATAATCAAACAATGGATTTGATTTGAATTTGTATTGTTACTCCCTATACTAATCATAATAATTCAGGTTATTAACCATAAAACTTTACAGTCTAACGTATAAACATATTTAACTAGTCGTTTCATCAGTAACTTTTATGATTGACATCATGAATCGATCAGTATTCAACTATCATTGAAAACATGAGGCATTGTATAACTGTTTTGCCCTAGTATGGGACTCCTCAGAAGTGAGCATCTACAATTTTTATCCCGTCACATGATCAATCCTAAATCTTCATTATTTTAAAAGTTTTATTTGCTTTAAGATTGTCTATTCATTCGGAACATTAATCTGTTGAAATTGAAGAGAGTTTAACACAAAGAATAATCTCCATTCATAACGATGTAATTTAATCAATTCGCTAAGAATCCATCTTTGTTTTATTTTGTCCTTAATTATACCCACGTTTTTTGTTAAAAAAAGTACATGATTTTAAATAGATATTCTTGTTACAAATTTCATAATAACACATACTTATCCTTGAAACTAATTTCATTATACAAACATATAACGCAAATAGTGAAATAAAAAGAAACAGTTTCGTGGATCGGTTGAAGTTAGACATTAACAACATTGGATTCCGGCTCAGTGGTCTAGACGTTAAGCGGTCAAGTGCAAGACTGACAGATCCTGAGTTCGATTCCCGCGAGGCGGGATCGTGGATGCGCACTGCTGAGGAGTCCCATAATAGGACTAAACGGCCATCTATTGCTTCCAGGTTTTCCATGGTGATCTAGTTTCAATTGACTCATGAATTCAACTATAATGATATTGATCCATGGTACCGATGAAAAGATACCATTCATTTAGTCTAAGAGCAAACGGCAGTACGGTTAGCTACATTTCCAACAATGTTGGTTGATTCAAGTTTCCAATTTTTCCACCAGGCAATAAATCTGTAATAACAGATAGTTAACTATTTATAACTTCTTTCCCAGAGAATAATAACAATGGATTTTCTATTTTATTTCAAACTGATTGGGAACAAGTTAGTGTACAATATGAGAAATAGTTTTGATCCTAGTTACCTCTCAACTGTAATTACTTATTTTAATCATCATATTATTTTATTCAAAAAAATATAGGAAATATAATTTAATTTTAAAACAAATGAGATAAGGCAACAATGTCATCATTTTAACTACATTCTAATATGGTTCAGTTGGGGAGCATCAATTAAATATTTCATCATATTATTAACCATGTAATTTGACTTATATTTTATAGATAACCTACTTTATGAAAGATAGATGGTGGCTGGCAGTGAAAGCCAGGAAGTGGGCTGTTATCAGGACTCAGTGGCTAAGTAGATAACGTGATGGTGTTTGAAGCGATAAGTGCCGGGTTCGAGTCCAGAAATAAACATCAATTCTGAAATGCAAGTGCACCTAGCTTACGAGTCCCAAATGGGATGAAACGCGTGTCCTGAATTCCACTGTTAGCTACTATCCATCTTTGCTTATAATGCTTTTGACTGAAGGTAATATCGAGGCAATCAGCACATAATGCACATATTCCATTAAGAGACTGATTATTTTGAAGTCCTAAACATCAATGGGAAGATTCAAACAAACAATACAAAATGAATTTACTTGTCTATGATATCATGGTTATATATACATATCCTTTAGATTTATTTCCATCTATTTATTTATAGTAATGTACATGCAAGTTTCAGTGTATATGTTTCACTAAAAACTTAGGCATTATTATCATTATCATTAAATTAACCAGATCAGAATATTGATTGCTCATTAATTAATACTTTTTCTAATGTTCAGTTATAAATAATGACGGAATATACAATAAACAAATCCGCGGTTCGCTAACTGTCTCTTTCTCTCTTTCTCTCCCTCTCTCTTCTTAGATGATTTCACATTATGATATTCTTAGCTCTTCATAGTGCAAGAAAGATGAAGAAATTTTGAAGGAGAAATAGCGAGAATGAGAGAGAGGGAAGTCAGAAAAAAGCCCAGAATGATAGGATATGTTATATTTAAACGAAAAAAAACAGACTTCACAGAAAAATAAAGATAAGATAAACATTAAATAATTTATCTTATAGATACTTTCATTTCAAAGATGTGTTCCCTTTTTTTAAAAATACAATTTGTGTACATGTCAATAACGACTGATTTAGTAATGATGAAGTACAGATAACTTA